GGTACTGTGTATGCTCATAGTTTATTTATATTTTCAAATTTAATCTACTTATATTTTAAAGAAATTTTGAAATGATTTGAATTATTGACTTTATTAAATGTATCTGTGTTTATCTGTTTTTTAGCAGCTGTAGTACCTGTAGCAGCCTAAGCGCCTTGACAGATTTAAAATACGGTGTGTAGCGACATTGGTCTTTATTGCCCTTATTGTAATACTAATTTATTTAATTTTTGAAAGTAATAAGACCGACACAATTATAGCTAATGAATGATTACCAACAGAAGTAGTCTCTTGTTCACGTCACTCACTTTATGAAATGCTGCTATTTCGCACTGGTATTCCGTACGAGCGCGGTCTTGTCTTGTTCACCTGTCATCATTCCGACATCGATGTTTTAACTTTTTCTTGAATGACAGTGTTTGTAAGATCGATCGATCGAATCCAACTCGGCTGGGCAGTATTCGGGCAATTACGATCTCATAACACATTTTTTTAAAACTTGTAAACTTGTTTCATGAATTTATCAATGCGTGATGACAGTGATGGCTTACGGTTCTGAGACGCGACCATTTACTGCTGGCCGCTTAAGGAAGCTTAAGATCGAGAAGTAAGCTTTAGAAAGGGCAATACTCAGAGTTTTCTAAATTATAAAACTCGTAATGGAGGTAGCAGGAAGTAGAATCAGATTAACTGACATACTACTACGGATCATTAAGTCGAAGTGGCAATGGGCCGGCCATAGCCGAACTGAGCTCGAAGAACCCACAACCGATGGAGAACAATGGTTATCGAGTGGCAGTCTCGTATTGATAAAATTGGTGTACTGACCCTTTAGATGTAGTGAGGAACCTAATAAGGCAAGTAGTGTGCAGGTAGTTCAGGCTGTGTTTTGTGGCATTCATTGAGGTAGGCCTGTTCAGTAGACTTGTGAAAAACTGGGATGATGAATGGTTATAGTACAGAAAAGGAAATAAAAGTCGATTTGAAATAATGGCGTAATGAATGACGTAATGAAAAAAATATTTAATTTAATTTCACGTTTTATTTTATAATTATACAAAAACCTAAGTAAAGAAATCTATATTCCTTATTGGAATTTCTTTGTTTTTTATACCAAATGATTTAATGCTCTACTAACTAATTTCAACAAATCATTTATTTTATTTATACAGCGTAAGTCTAACGCTAGTAGTAGTAGTCTACGAATCACCGTTATAGTTTAGTCACAGCTATAACGTAGTCATTTCTTCACGCAATTATCACGCACTTAACCAGTTTTAAAGGAGCTCTAAGCAGTTATTTGATCATGTTGTTCGTATATATCAGGCGAGAGAGGTCAGGTAATAGTGAACGTTTCTTACATAGTACGGTCAATGTTCATTACTGCGATGGTATCAGACATCGAAATGTTCAAGATTATGTCGTATGTGGGGACTCGTAAGACATGTGTGAGAAAAAAATTATCTAATTTTGACATTTTACGTTATTTTAATGTAACGTTTTATTAGTTGTTAAAACAGTAGTTATTTTTTTTTCATATTTCTTCTTTAAAATTTTAAAGGGATATATTTTAAAGTAAATATTTATATGTATAAATGTATCGTATATTTATATCAGTATGTTTTCATACAAAATGTAATTATTACATCTTAATCTTAATAAATCAGGTCCTTCTAAAATGTTAGTACCTTAATTAAATGTTATTTTGTTTCTTTTAACATAATATTTTTAGCATCATCATTCAGCTTTTCTTGATTTTCAAAACTGGCTTTTTTTAAAACATTACCTCCACACTAGGATTTTTTCCTGTATCGTGGAGGCAGTTTACAAAAATAGATTGCACAAGGACAAACATTCAGACTCGGAAAAATTATTTGTAGGCTATACAAATTCTTGTTCCGTGCGGGATTCGAACCCGCGGCCCCCAGCGCAACAACTCATTGCTAAGCCACTGCGCCACGGATCCGTCTTTTTAAAGGTCAACTTTGAATAAATATATTTTCAATTAGACTTGGAGGTTATTAAAAACACCTTGCTGGAAATAGACTTTCTATACAGACTTTAGAATTATCGACTTTCTGTAAGTCGTATCAGTTCGTCATTTAGTGGAAGACCGATATAAACATCGCTTTTCAGTACGAGGCTGCTACTTGATCTTTCTTTAGTGGTCGGCCCCTTGCCACTTCAATTTACTTATCTATCTGTATCTGTAATCTAATATATAAAAATTTATGTTTGTTTGTTCGTATTTTATGCACTGCCATACCGTTAATCGGATTGCGATAAAACTTTGTCAACATATTGCTTGCACTTGGGCGAAGGTTATAGGCATAGTACTATTAACTTAAAGTAGGTGGCGCGCGTATCGTACCAACAATGAATGTATTATCGTTTCTAATTAAACAATGTAACTCTTCCAAATTTGAAACGATATTTCCACAACTATTTCTTCTGCGGCAGGAACGCGCCAGGGCCAGCTGTAATAAATCAAGAATAAGTGAATGTTTTCTTTCTTTCTCTCTGTTTTTTTTTTTTGTAAAAAGTACTAGTTATAATATTAACCTTACTAATATTTCCTTTATCCACTTCTGGTAAGCTGAAAATGCTAGTGTTAGGAGTGGTTTACGGCAATAGTCGAGTGGCGGATTCGAACCCACAACCTTTTTAGTCGCGACTTGCCATTTGACTACTGTCACTGTTTTAATAATATCATTAAATTTTTACTAAATTGCTTAAATTTCATGAAACCTTGACAAATAATTAGAACATTTTCAGATACCAAACAGATTTTAGCGAAAGTTAGAATTAGGGCGCCTCCAACAGCGTGTTGGTATGAAACGTGACGTCAGCCTGCGTCACGTAAAGGTAACCCAATTACAGGCGACGTGACGCTCAGAATTTCGATAGCACGCCCCGCATAGGGCTACCATTTTCTCCATTTCAATGTAGAACTTTGACAAATATTCCATATTTCAACTAAAATATTATTAATAAAATGAGAAATCTTAATACTTCGAAAACATCGTTTTGGTTTTACACTGAACAATAAATAATACAAAAAGGAAGCTTTTCGAGTGGCAGTCTTGTATCGATAAACGAAGTGTAAGACGGAACCCTACTCGACATCTACTAGATGCAGTGACTGACTACGTGGTAAAATATGCAGCAAGACGATGGGTGCAAGTGGCTCAGGAATCATGTGTTTTATGGCATTCCTTGGGGAAGGCCTGTTTAACAGTGAACTTGAAGTTATTAGTCAATTAATTTATGCGTTTATTTATGAAAAAAAATATTTTTTACTTTTTTTACGCAAAATTAATCTATACCAGTGAAATATACGCGTTAGGATAAGAGAAAAAAGGTTTGCGTTGGCTTTAAATGTTGAAAGTATTTCCAACGTTTGGTCACCCTATAAGCTGAGTCGCACCGTATAGTTCGAAGCTTGTTTCGTATGCCCGGCATACGCCCCGGCCGGTTCGGCGCACACATCCAAGCACGCCGTATAGTTTTGATAGCAGATCCTCAATGACCGCTGGACCGACAGACTCGGCACACGTGTTCTCACCGCTTCGCGAGTACCACTAAAATGCATGTAAATACATACCACGCGCGTTTCAGAACGCACCGGTGCGCGGGCGGGAAAAATTTGACAGTTGACGTTTACATTTTTTTCAAGCAGTGACAGAGAACGCAAGTCCCGTGTTGTGATGAGACTGAAGTGTGGATTTTTTGTGTTTCTACATATGAGTGATTGTGTATAATATCGTGATTATACGTTCTTGGATAAATTAACGAACAGGTTGACATATTACATTTACGAAAGGTATGACCTGACAGAAAAAATTAGCAAACCTAAATAATCTTTGTACAATGTTGGAAATAAAACGACTTAAACTTACTTTAACTTTGTTAATTTAAATTAACATAATTAAAACTCGAGGAATAATTTTTAAATGAAAATATATGACATACACATATCGTCATATTTTAAAAGGTTTACATCGTGTATTCGTAACAGCTATTGAAAGAAAAATAAAATATTTCCAAGATAGAGTATAAATTAATTGTCAGTTTTGTTTAAAAAAAAATTCTGATTATTTAGTAACGTCATTCCAATAATAGCTTAATTCTATTACTTCATTCCTGGAAAGTTATTTAATTTTTCATTTTAATAATAAAATACTCCACTCATGGTAAAAAATCTATGAACACAGCCTGGGTTATACTGTTAGAAAATTAGAAAAGCTTTCCTTCATAAAACAGTGGAAGAGCAACTCCCGCGCACCTTACCAACAGGTGTTATTGCTCAACAAACACCGAAAACCCGTAATCCCTTGAGGTTAACAAAATATTAACGCAATAAATACTTTAGCTTAGAGCAAACAGCATATCGCCTTCACTAATAGGTGCGGGTACAGCCGTCGAAAACAATCGGCTATGCGAGGCACTATGTCAATATATCAAATGTTCGGACCTTCGTGTTGTGTACACAAATTAAAGCGGGTACGGTTATATTGGGTACTTGAGGGAATGGTTTTAACGCTAAATTAATGACTCGACAAATCCCTTATCGTTTAGTGCCTTTTACCTTTGCAAATATAAAAATTTGCAACTCAACGTCAGATTAAGAGGTGGTGAGGTGAAAATTATTATATTTTTGACTTTCTTAACTATCCAAATATGTTACAATATATTCATAATCATTGTCATATGATATCTTAGCTTATATCTAATTATCCTCAATTTATAGTTAGTTTTATGAGATTATTTTTATTCAATAAGAGTGTACAACACAAGTGTAAATCTATCTAACTTAAAATCTTATAAAAGAAGGCCAGCCATGATTTTAGCTGTTATATTATGAGTGTGATTAAACATTAAAATAAAACTAAAAAATGAAACAGCCATTAAAACACAGACTTTATTACGGAACATAAGTGATTAAAGTGTTGACCAAAATTTAGGAAATTAAAATGGAACTGTAAGTGCTGTATAGTGACATGGAGCATCCAGGTGGATTCGCTTCGTCGCCATGGGCCGCCATGCTGGGCCACGGCATGCACGGCATGATGCAGCATGACTACACCCATGCTCATGCACATGCGTCCATGCCAATGGATCTGCATGTGCCGCAGGCGTTCCCTTATTACCGGTAAGTATGCCATTAAAATTAATATTTAATAATTAGATTACTTTGTTAAAATTACTAAAAGATGTCTGGTATGTCGTTATCAATCATAAAGGGTTACTGGATCTCACCTATTGTAGCAATAATTTACTACTTTAATAAGGTTTTTCACGTGGTAGAGCCATGCTGCAGTTATATTATTGATATAGTTGCAGCACGAATGGGTAGGCTCGACAGGGGAAGGACCACGCTCTCACAGAATACCAGCGTAAAATAGAAGCTTAACGCTGCTGTGTTTCGTATGGTGAGTGTAGAGAACCGGAGACCCGAGGAACGAGGCACTCCAACTTAGTCCTCACGCGTGACAACGCATCTATATTTTTTATGAAAAATTTTGTTGCCTATGGATAACCACTCACTGGGACTTGGGTAACTACCAAGTCCACCTGATGGTAAGTGAATGCTGTGACATCCACTTACCATCAGATGAATTGTGTACTCCTTTATCACCCTTATTTTTTAATAAATATTTTTAATAATCTTTAAAAAAATCTGTTATAACTATTATACACCTCTGTTAAGACATTGTATACAAGTTTTTACGTGGTAGAGCCATGGTTATATGTATTAATGGTTATAGCACAAATATCTCGGCTCGACCGGGGAGAGCCCACGCTCTCACAAAATGCCAGCGTATAATAGCAGCTCAATGCTGCTGTATTTCGTATGTGGAGCACTGGAGACCCTTTTTACTGAAAACGAGGTATTTTATTTTTGTTCATCAAAGGAGGCAACGCATCTGCATTTTAATTCTTAATCAAGGATAGATGTAGAGTAGAATTAATTGAATTGACTAAATCAAATCAAAAAGTTGCAAAGGTGTTTGAGAAATATTTCACTGATGTTCCTATCTTGACAACAGAGTCATTGAATACTTCTCCAACTATCGCCGAGTCATTACACAAACAGAATGTTAATACCTGTTTAAAAGAAAAAGTAGATTTGAAAAAGTATTACTGCAAGATATTATAAAATACTTCAAAACCATTGATGTAAAGAAAACCGCAGATTTGTGGGGGATTTCCGTTACAGTTATTGTGTCCATAATAGATTTAATTGCACCTCACCTTGCTATTATTTTTAATACTTGTATCGATTCTGGTGTGTTTCCTGATTTAATGAAGTATAGTAAAGTAATACCTTTATATAAATCTGGTAGTACATTGGACCCCGCTAATTTTAACACTATTTCTGTGCTACCAACTCTCAGTAAAATTTTTATAAAATCATTTTGGATCGATTGTTAATTTTTTTTAATACAAATAAATTACTTCATAGAAACCAATTTGGTGTTACAAGGGGTTGCTCGACGTTTAACACCGGTGTTGAGCATATGAAATATATTTTTAATGCCTGGGAGAATTCACAAGATACCTTAGGTATTTTCTGTGATCTTTCCACGGCTTTCGTTTGTATTCATCGTGAGACATTAATCAGCAAACTACAACGTTACGGTGTAAAAAATTTAGCGCTTAGACTTTTTACTTTATATTTAAGTAACAGAACTCAAAAAGTCGTGATCAATGGGAAAGGTTCCTCCGGATCGGTAGTATCAATGGGTGTTCCTCAGGGCTTGATTCTTGGCCCACTCCTGTTCTTAATCTATATTAATGACTTACATTATCCTGTAGGGGACAATCACGGTATAGTATTATTTTCTGACGATACCTCTTTAATTTTCAAACTCAAACGGCACTCAATTAATTATGACAATGTAAATAATGCTCTATCGAAATTAGTACTTTGATTTAACGTCAAAAATTTGCTCTTAAACGGCTATAGGACAAAATATATTAAATTTGCAATGGGGAGGAGTTGTGTGTTCTGGATTTGAATGCCTTGTTTTTTATAGGATAGAGTGACAAACGAGCACACAGTCTACCTGATGGTAAGTGGTTGTTGTGGCCGATAGACATCTACATCTATCCTCGTTTGCGAATCAAAATGCAGTTGCGTTGTCACCCGTGAGGACTAAGATGTAATGCCTCTTTTCCAGTAAAAAGGGTCTCGGGTTCTCTACACTCACCATACGAAACACTGCAGTGTTAAGCTGCTATTTCACGCTGGTATTCTGTGAGAGTGTGGTCCTTCCCCGGCCGAGCCGACCCATTCGTGCTGCAACTATAGTACTAATATAGCTGCAGTATGGCTATACCACGTATAAATCGTTTCAAGTAAAAATAGGATTGCGGTTCTCTATAATCTCTACTATAGCTCTTTATAGACTGAAACTACTTATATGGCCTTCTATTGACCTGATTTTTCTAACACTAAAATACATATAACATATACTTACTAGGTATAGTTATTAAATATATTTTTATTGAAAGGAAATCTCTATATATCAAAATCAATTACTACTACTCGAAAACGGCTCGATTGATTTTGATGAATTTTTTGGGTGTGATTGAGTGGGTGACTGGATGGTTTAGATTCACAATTGGACTCGGTAGGTGGCGTTGCTGTCGAGATCCAGAAATAGCCCGTGCGAAGCCGGGCCGGATCAATAGCACAGAATAGTCTATAGTATTTAATATTACAAATAACAACGAACATCATACAATAAAATAACACTGATTAATTATAAAAAAAAATCGTATCTCTAAAAGAAAATTCTAGTAAAGTTTAATTATTACACTTAATGATCGCGGTTGTTTAGCGATTGTCGGAGTACGAAATAAAAGCAGTGGTAAAAAGTGGACGCTTCGGATATGGTCAGTTATTAGGGTGGGATGCCTTGATGCGGTCGGTGCAGGGTTTTTGCTGTACGCATAACGCACGCCCGTGTTGTTGCCGATGCTGTGGAGCTGAGAAAAATACAAGGACTTGTGGAAATTTATACGACGGAACACAAACCTCCTCGTAATCTGATGTTAAAATGTTTTTTGCGTCTCGAACATATGTCGCCGGTACGTGATAATTGTAGAATAAAAAATATGCTTTTAATAAATCTTTTCTTACAAACACATAAAGATAATATGCAAAATTTTCGTAACTATAAGTGTCGTAGACTCCGTAACTTTTTTGTTACTACTAAAGACTAAGGTTTAATGCCTCACAGAAAGTTTAAACAATAATATAGGAAACATATTATAATAAGGAACTAAATGGGATTTCTATTCCTCTCTTTCTTTAATATTAATCTTTCGCTTAATAATGCAAAAATCACCAGATCACATGTTTACAACCAAGTGATGAAACTTAGTATGAATTTATCTTGGTATATATTTTTGGCCTTGAATTTTTTATAGAATTGTTAACTGCAGACGAGTATGCAGCCCATTTGATTGGGACATGCGGTGACCCATAGCTTTTGTCGCCGATTAGAAGTCAAAATGCAGATGCGTTGACATCCCTAAGAACTAAGATGGTATGTGTCGTTACTAGCAAAAGGGTCGCCGGTACTCGTCACTTACGATTCACTATTCGAAAAACAGCAGCATTGTACTGCAGTTTTACGCTGGTATTTTGTGTGAGCGTAGCACTTTTCTGGTTAAATCAATCCATTTTTGCTGTAGTAGTAATACGATGCGGCGTAACTTTTTATTTGTATTAGATGTATGCATAAGGTGCTCGATTCCAAGCTTAACGAAGTTCTTTAACGGACGGTACGAATTTTGCGGTTGGGGGCTAGGCGAGAAAAAGTGTAAGATTCTTCCGTCACGATCCCTTTTGACGTAGTGCAGACTGCCTTGGCGGCTTTAAGGAAGCGAAATGGAATAATATCCATTTCCCTCGCACTTTTTCTTGCCATGCCATCTTGCCATGAAAGAAACATTATTTTATTTTAAATGACGCTTCATTTTAATAGACGCTAGTTTATTGTATAATATACAGCCAAATCTGAGTAAGTGAGAACTGGGTAAGCGAGAAAACTCTGTAAGAATAGAATAGAATAATTTTTTATTCAATATTGATTATAAGTAATTCTTATTGAAAGTCATTTTTTACTTTTCTACTGGTTCGAAAAAAATCCTCTGTCCTGGGAAGAACCAGCAAGAAACCCAGCGGGACTTTCGTTTGAAATAAATTTTACAATATAAATGATTACAAACTATTTACAAAATTTATTTTAGAAACAGCTTGGAAGCGACCACCTCATTCTCAGGGGTTATTATCAACCATGTATTCATTTATATTATAAGAAACCTTTTTATACAGCTTTTGTTTAATTAAATATTTAAACTTGGTAATAGAGATACCTTGTATATTTTCTGGGACTTCGTTGTAATAGCGTATACATTACCCCAAGAATGAATTACGTACTGTAGAGTCGAGAGACCGGTATCACTAGCTCGTGTTTGTTCCTAGTATTTACAGAGTGTATATTACTTTTTTTTTACTAAAAATATCTTTGTTTTTGTGAACATACATTAAATTTGCGTAAATATACTGAGGGGCTAAAGAGACTCTTTCGGTTTAAGGTTATAAATAACTCTTATGGCCCTCTTCTGCAAAACAAAAATAGTTTCTATATCAACCGCATTTCCCCATAGCAAAGTCCCATAAGACATTATGCTATGGAAATGAAATGAACTAATCTAGCTGTCTCGACACTAGTGAGATCTCTAATCTTTTTTTACTGCATAAGCTGCAGAGCTTAGTCTGCTTGCTACTTTGGATATATGGCGGCCCCACTGAAACTTTGCGTCGAGAGTGATACCAAGAAAAACAGAGGATTCCACAGGACTCAGTTCCTCTCCATTTAAAACTCACATTGATATTCAGATTTCTATATTCGTTGTTGTAAATTTAATACATTTATTTTCATTGCCGTTTAAACGCAGATTATTAACGTTAAACCAATGCGCTAATTTTGATATAGCATTATTCACTTCGTCACATTTAAATGATTGACGTTTAAGTTTAAAAATCAAGGAAGTATCATCAGCAAACAATACTATATCATGATTATCTCCTACAAGGAAAGGTAAGTCATTAATATTATAATGTGCAATCAATTT